GAAGTGACCCTGCTTTTCTTAATCAGCAGCAATGACTTACTTCAGACTTCTTGTTCTCCATGGAAATCTAAATCTAAATCTGATCTATTCCCCTCCTAAATCAGATCTCGTGGAACGTATTTCTTTGCGCCAAAATATCTCAAGAGTTAAAACTGGACTTTCTGTCCTTTCATCTGATGCCTTCATTAAGTTTTACATTTGCAAAGACCCACCTACCAGTTATAGCCATTTTCTTTTATTACCAGGGGTGGCCACAGGGCAGTGAAAACCTCCTGAACAGGGACTTTCAGCAAATCAGGGGCAGAAAACATGAGAGAACTCAGAGCCCAGAATTGACTCTGTGGGTGCTCCTGGCCCCTCTCTCCAAGCTTTCTTGCTGCCAGGGGAACAAGCAAAGGCCTCAGACCTCAGCTCTCTGCTGCAGAGAGAAGAACATAATGAAATCACCAGCTTTTGCCTCCTGTCTCTTTCCATTTCTTTAGGCCAGTGAAAAGTAGAACCAGCAGAAAACCATTTTTTCTCTTAATTTTAATATTGTCAACTATAATAAACTCCACTAAGTTTCACTAGCAAAGTGTTTTCTGTTTGTTCATGGGAATTAAGCTGTAGTCTTCAAATCCTGCCCTAATGAGGTACGTGGTTTTGGAATAAGATGAGAGCCTCTCACTACACTGATGAAATCTGCTGGACGCTGAAGATCTGGAGCCGATGCAGAGCTTGTGGGGCTATTTGATCCATTTACCACATGTGATTCGCTTAATACAATATGTAAACACGAAGGGACCTACCTTTTGAGGCATGGGAAGCACTTATGGCATTACTTAAACAGAGGCCCAGTTATCTTTGCAAAAACATGCAATTGAGACTTAAGTGTTAGGTCAACAGTTGAGATGAATAAAACTTTATTAAGTTGGGGCTGAGTGTGGGGTGACCCTGGACAGCTGAGGCAGCCAAACCAAACCCCAAGGAGGGAGTGTCTTGTCTCCAAGGGGTCCCCTGGTTTCTTCCCAGGACCTCCTGATCCGAGTGTCTTCTTTCACTGGCAGCCGTGGGTGGGTGTCCTGCTCACGTCTGGGTCAGAATGACATGGGAGAAACAAGGAAGTTACAGAGGAATCTGAAGGCAAACCACAAAGCCACAGGCCTACTAAATAGCTTAAACCTGAGAAAAGAATAGGAACACATTGGCCAGTAGGACTTGACAATTCTTCTCTGTAGTGAATTTCTGACCGAGCTTCTGGGTTAGAGAGTTTCAATGGCGTCATCGGAAACAGAGAGGCTGACAAATTCCTTAATACAAAGGGCAAAGCTGTGATTACATTCCTGTCTGTTTCTCCACTCATGCTCTGTTTCCAGTTCTATTTCAAAACTCACTGGCAGTCTCTCAGCCCCTCTACCCACCAGCCTCCCTCTTCTGAAGGGTCTTGAGGAACTATCCTCTCTGCCAGAGTGTCACCCTTCTCCTGAACACCTCCTGTTCACTCCGGCTTCAGGGGTTCCCTCATCCACTCTCTTTGCCTGTGTCCGAGAGAAGTGCTAGTGCAACGGTGCCCTCGGTTTCAGTTTTCTGCTTCCTTGTCCTTGTGTGTCCAACTCCAATCTGAGTTTCATGAGGCGCGGGGTGGGCGGGGGAGGCATGTCTACCTCATCTACTGCTGTAGCCCTGGTACCAGGCAAGGCTTACGGCACACGCGTGAAATATTTGCAGTCTGAGTGGATAACAGAGAAGCTGTGTGTCTATAGGTATATATGTGTTTGAGCCCAAGGGTGGAGGTAGGGAAGAAGCAAAGGACTCCAAATCAAACTGCTGATGGTTTTATTTCCTGAGAACAGACCATTGCTGGCATTTGAACATTAGAGATATAAAAACCAAAGAGGCGCTCTGGTTGTTTTAACCATCCTTTAAAACTGAGACAGGTCGGGCTTCCCTGGTGGCGCAGTGGTTGAGAGTCCGCCTGCCGATGCAGGGGACACGGGTTCGTGCCCCGGTCCGGGAAGATCCCACATGCCGCGGAGCGGCTGGGCCCGTGAGCCACGGCCGCTGAGCCTGCGCGTCCGGAGCATGTGCTCCGCAACGGGAGAGGCCACGACAGTGAGAGACCCGCGTACCGCAAAAAAAAAAAAAAAGAGAGACAGGTTAGTATGCCTCCAATCCTCATAACCTGTAAAATACTTAGATGTTCCCAACACGTCTCCCTGGGCTCAGGCTACCCCTTCTAACACACCACTGCAGCCCTCCCTCCATGCTGGGATCGTTTCCTCTGTCCAGTTAGCCTGATTTTCTCATTAGGCTCGGCCCCTGGGTCTTGGACGTGGGCTCCGTTCTTTGGCTGGGGCTGAACCTGCAAGATTTTCCCTTCATCAGGCTAATGAAGTAAGAGTCTTATGTCATCATTAGTGCTGGTGTTAATCCACGCAGAACTAATATTGGTGTTGTTCCAAGTAGAATTAACAAAGCCCAGCCCCCCGCAAGACAGATGTTTGTCAGGCACTTCTTACTGATGTTAATGATAGCTCCCTTGCGTTTCACAAACAGCTGAGTTCACCAACTGAACTTCAGGGTCTCAGAAGAACCGCCTGCCTAATAAAAATTGGTCCTCAGAGGTACTGAGGGCTTAGAATTTCCAAGCTGAAAGCAAGAAAGAGTTCCCTTTTCTGCAGAGAAAATGACCACAGCACTTTCAGCTGTCCAGAGAGCAAAGAGACGGCCACATGGAGGCAACTAGCTGGCCCCAGAGGCCGCTTAGGGAGTGCTTCTTTGCAGCTCTCTCTTCTTCTGTGCCAGGCTCCATAGGGGTCACGTGTTTGCGCATTTATTCCCTCCACCGTGGGTGCAAACACTGTGTCTTTCCACCTCTGCGTCTCTGCACCAAGTAGAGAGATTGGCTAACTATTGTGTGGAAATAAATGATGGTAGAAGGTCTTCCTGCGGTGGTTTGCCTTATTGTCCAATTCCACGTGGATTTCCTCTCCCTTTCCACCAATAACATACATCAGCCCTAGACTTTCCCTTTATACTTGATCACTGCTTGATCATAGGAATGTGATACACCAATAAGAATATAAACCTTTTATTGCTTCCATGCCCTAGCTGTATTGTAAATAGTGCTGCCATGAACATCAGGATACATGCATCCTTTCGAATTATGGTTTTCTCCCAATATATGCCCAGGAGTGGGGTTGCTGGGTCATATGGTAGCTCTGCTTATATGTAGGATCTAGAAAAAATGGTACAGATGAGCTTATTTGCAAAGCAGAAATAGAGTCACAGACGTAGAAAACAAACTTATGGTTACCAAGGGGAGAAGGGAGGGATGAACTGGGAGATTGGGATGGACATATACACACTACTATATATAAAATAGATAACTAATAAGGACCTACTGTATAGCACAGGGAACTCTACTCAGTGCTCTGTGGTGACCTAGATGGGAAGGGAATCTAAAAAAGAGTGGATATGTGTATATGTTTAACTGACACACTTTGCTGTACAGCAGAAACTAATACAACATTGTAAGGCAACTAAACTCCAGTAAAAATTAACTTAAAAAAAGAAACCATTTATTGGAAGGGCGAGGCACTGTGCTAAGAAATCTGTATGCACTTTTTAACAAACCATGAAAGCAGTATATCAAGATATTAAAATATATGACCAATGCTTGGGGACTAGGTGGGGTGGGCTGAGAGCTTGCTTAAATGATGTGCTGACTTGTTTAAGGTCATAGGACTAGTCCAGGGCAGATCCAGAGTGACTGGTGACACCTCTGTCCATTCCACTAATAGTTGGGTGACCTGATCAGCAGGAAGTTTTCTACCTACCTCACCTGGAAAAAATGGGGCAGGTGTCTGTAGTATTTCCTCCGCATGCCGTCAAATCCCCATAGTAGAAGAATTTGTAAATGAGAGACTTAAAATATTATGGGAAAAATTGAAGTGGCCAGGGGATATATAGAAGCCTTTGAGAATATTTTTGGGTTTGCTAAAATAATGAAGGCAATACACTAATGAGACTGTCAAAAACTATGTGCAGATGTTTAATTATATACTATTGGCTACTCTACAGTTGACTCCCGTTCACTCTACCACTGTCCCCAGGCCAGAAGTTTTGCAGGCTTTCAGTTTCAGTGAGATGTATATAAATGTCTTTTCTTAAGTGGTAGATAATATGGATACCAAGAGGATTCTTCCCTCTGTGGCTGCTTCTCCATCCAAATGTTTACAGTTTTATCTACAATGACTCAGCTGTTGACTCCCTCCTCTGGGATCCCACCATGGACCAGAGATGAAGAAGAACTTGGACTCCTGCACTGGTAAAGGGGGAGCTTAATCCATCCATCACCCCCTTATACTGAAGCCCTGCTCCACCCTTGATAATGTAATACAGTAGAACCCTGACCTGACCCTAACCCTGACCAGCTCTGCCCATCTTCTCACTAAAGTCTCAGCTCCTGCCTTGCTGTGAGGACAAGAATGTGTCCCAAAGGCCACGTTTAGTTTGTCTCCATTGCCTTTTCCTCTCTTAAAGAGGCATTGTAGGAATCTCTGTGCCTATTCTTTCTATTATCTCTTCTACCTTGAGCCCTTTCTTTCTGCCCAACCTAAAGGTTCCTCTCTTTCTAATTATCTTTGTCAAGAGTGACTAAAAGTTTCAGAACACTCAAACTTAAATATATCAGTTGGAGGACACGTATATAAAAGCACATCTATTTATAGCAGGCTTTTCTTAAAAGACACTGGTGGTTGGGGACCGTTACTGCCTATAGATTCTTTCCCTGGGTCAATGCCCAGTCCATTTGTGCAAATCTGTTTTCTGAGAGCCAGGCTATGACGATAATAATAGACCCACTTATTGAACACCCGACCCTGTGCTCCAAGCACTGTGCTGGGCTGGGCACTTTCCAGACAGTATCTGTAATTTAATGACCCTCTAAAGAAAATGTCCTCACCATGCTGCCAATGAAGAAACTAAAGCCCATCCATGTTAACTGATTTGTCTTACAGGTACGTCGTTGGAGATGAGTTCACCTCTCTTCCCTTTGTTTATGGAGCACCTGTTCATGGCAGAGAGGGGGAAGCATGCTGGTGTGCCTAGAATAGCAAGCTCCAGATTTCTGCAGGGAACCCCTGAGGGCAGCCTGTGTCCTGGAGAGGTGAAACTTCAGAGCCCCACGGGGCCACCGAGAGACACACCCCACAGTCTGTCCGTCTGTGCGCTCCCGTGTCAGTGTGCTGCTCTCCGTGATCTGAAGTATAACGCGATGAGGTGTTTCCTAACAGATAAAATGCCATGTTTAGAAAGCTCCACTTTGCACCTGGTTGTTTTTTTGTTTTGTTTTGTTTTTTTGTTTTTTGGACCTGGTTTTTATACTTGCCCACAGGTCATTCCATTTTCTCAGCCCTTTCAATCCTTAATTTTCTAGTTTCAAATTGAGACATAGTTCATAAGCCTGTATGACACTTTACAATGATAAATGAAAGATCAAGGTAGTCTTTCAAAGGAAAGGTTTCCCAGATGGGCATAAGGAACTAAAGATATCAGTGAAAACTTTAGGAGGGAACTCTGTTCTTTTGAGACCCACAGATCCTTTAGTTTGAGATGTTCCTTAAGCATCTGCTACGTGTCAGCATCTTTATGTTGCAGTATATGGACGCTGTCACCTTTAATCTTTATGTCTCGAAGAAGTAATTATAATTATCCTCATTTTATCCCTAAGGACATTGAGAATTAAAAAACTAAAAAGTGAAGGAGCTGATATTAGAACCCAAGACTGTCTGACAACAAAACCAGCAAGTGGGGTGGCTTGGGAATTCTAAATCCTTGTCACAAAGCATAACTCTTCTTCCCCAGAGGATTCTTTGACTGTCATAGTTGTCCCACTTAGCTCGGCAGTTGACATCAACTTCTTGACTAGCCAACTGTTGGTCTCATGCCTGTTACTTTGTCTCTAACCAGCTTTTTCATTGGAATGAGGAGCACGAGATCCCATCCTAAATGCTGAAGGCTGCTGTTACCATACAGTCATTTGTGTTAGACCTTCATCCTGAACTAAGCCCTCCCTTTAAGACTAAATTTAACTCCAACTTGAAATAGTCTACCTTGCAGCATCTTTGCTCTCTGATTCCATGCCATCTGTATATTCTCAACATAAGGTATATCAGTGATCCTCTAACCTCCCCAAGATCCTCCAGGCTCATGGCCTAGAGCTGTCAACACCCTGAAGGATTCTAGCAAAAGCAGAGCTGGTGAGCAGGAGCGCCATAGATCTCCCTCCAGGAAAAAAAGGGAGACTCAGGGGCAGGAAGAACAGCTGATGGTTGGGCTGGAGGCTGATGCTGGGCCCACTTGAGCTGCAGGCTTTGTCCCCTCTGTGGCTCATGACAGGAGCTGGGCTTTCTTGCCTTGCCAGTGAATGCCATCAGTGCTGCAGCTGCCCAAGGGGACCCCTCAGGGAGAACGTTTGGGGTGCCAGCATGGCCAGGATAAAAAAAAGAAAAGAGAGAACAAGTCAAGGACTGGAAGTTTTTTGTGTTTTCATTTAAAGCAAAGGATGCATTTTGGCTGGTGGTCTGTGGAAGTAGCCAAGTGGAAGGGATTTAAGAGCAAAGAGTTATAACTGAAGGTTATAGATAGGCCTTGCTGTGATCAACAGTACTATAGTATATACTTGAAAGTTGCTGAGACGGTAGGTCTTAAATGTTCTCACCACAAAAAAGCAATGGTAATTATGTGACATGATGGAGATGTTCACTAAAGCTATGGCGGTCATCATTTTGCAAAATATAAATGTACCAAATCAACACATTGTACACCTTAAACTGACACAATGTTATATGTCAATTATATCTCAATAACGCTGGGAAAATAATTAATTAGTTAATTAATTAATATGTATTCCTGTAATCTCTTTGTTATATCCTTTATTCCTCTCTCCCCCGTGTCCTACTCTAGGTCATAGGAATGACACAGACTGTGAGAAATTCATGCCACAGAATTGTTTATCCCCTACCCATCTCTATGACTTTCATACACTCAGACACATTCACAGGTCCAGCATGGTGGTTTAATGAATGGAATTAGGTAAATTACCAATACTTGCTATCCAGAACTCAGTGGGTACCGGATGACAGCGTCACCAGTTACATTTATGAAGGTCCAGTTTCAGGCAATGCTCTAGTTTTGGAAATAACCATTGAACGTTTATCCACATGTATGTGTGAAAACATATTCCCAAGCCTCCAGTGTATTTACCATTTGCCTATTTTCTCAGCAAAACCCCATTCACCTCAATAAAATGATTAACGCATGCCAAGTGCAGTTTCAAAGCCCCCAGAGATCCAGTCCATCCAGACACACGAGAGCCACACCTACGCACACCCACCCACGTGGCGGCATCCGCCGCCCACCTCTGTCCGGCGGATCCCGGGACTCGGCACCCGCTCTTGTCTCGCAGACTGTCACATCGCCAGCCTCCTCTGATCCCTGCCCTCCTTTGCCTCCAAATTAAATTTCAACTTTTTGTAAACCTCTGTGAAAACGACAAGCCAGTGCCAGAGCTGTCTTTTAATACACAAAAGCATAAATAATGCCATCCATCAGTCCTGTCACTCAGAAAGATAGATTGCTAGTTGTCCAGACCCCGGAATGACACCAAAGCCAAAGTTAGAAAGTGTCTTTTTTCTTTCCCGGAGTCGCTCTCTCACTCACATGCTCGCTCTCCTTTCTGTTTGCCGGACTGCTTGATTCTGATTAATGGTCCTGTCAGGGTGGGATTCCACTTGCCCGGATAATGAGTCAAGAATGTATTCCCTGTCACAGACGCAGCAGATGTCAGGGGCAGAAGGGCTCCAGGATGCCAGAAACAATATACAGTTTCTTCCTAGTCCCCTGACAGGCCAATATGCTGCACAAGGTCTAATTTATGTAGACAAAATGCAGGCGGGGCCGCAGCAACCAGAAACCTGCCCCCAAAGCCCCAGCTCCAATGCGGCTCGAGCGCCCGGGCTGCCTGTCGGCTGGGCCGGCTGGAGGTGGGCTGGTAATGGACACCAGCCGCGGACTCCATAGCCCTGCCTCCCAATGTCTGAACACACCGAGAGGCCCGGGACCCCTTTGACTTCATTAAACGGCACTTTATATCATTATGGGAAGAAATCAAACAGGGCAGAGGGCTTCTCCCTGAATGGCTTGATTAGGTGATTCACCGCTGGGCTTGGGTGTTATTTTCCAGGAGCTGCTGGAGGGGCTGAGAAGTGTCAGCTGGCCCAGCTGCCCCAGCCAATCACCCTCTTTGCTTCGATGGGACTAATCTGATCTCAGAAGTTTGTGCACCCGCAGAGAACATCAGAGCTCCCGACGTTCCAGCGGGGCTCCAGGAACCAGAGCTGCCCCTTGGCTAAAATGTAGATGCTTGGTCTCAGCCCAAAGGTGGACACGCTTGCATCTAATCACCCTGTCCACATCGATTTTGTACATATGCACACATTTCTTTGTTGAGAAAAATCTCTAGGAGTGTTCCTTGAGTTGTAACATTAAATCAATGTATATTTCCCTTAGAAATTAAAATATAACCACATTCCTTTGACAAACAACTCAAGTAGTTAAATGTTAAGGACACACTGGAATTAGACAAGTCAAAATCAGGCAGGGGGACTGTCACGTCCCCAAGACTGGGAAGGTAAAAGTCATGTTTACTAATCTCCATTTTAATCTTAAACCAGGTCACAAATATCTTCCATTTAAAAAGAAAAATTCAAAAAGATGGCAAAACTCTGTGTATTAAGCGGGTATTATTATTGCATGGCTTCTAGACTTCATTTCTGTGGGCCCGATAGGCTCTGATGGTGGACTCAGCTGATAGGGCCTCTGGCATCTGGTACTAGGTTGAACATCGGCTGGTTCAAAGGCAGCAGGCAAGGGCTTCCCTGGTGGCGCAGTGGTTGAGAGTCCGCCTGCCGATGCAGGGGACACGGGTTCGTGCCGCGGTCCGGGAAGATCCCACATGCCGCGGAGCGGCTGGGCCCGTGAGCCATGGCCACTGGGCCTGCGCGTCCAGAGCCTGTGCTCCACAGCGGGAGAGGCCACAACAGTGAGAGGCCCACGTACCGCGAAAAAAAACCCAAAAACAACAACAACAAAAAACTGTCTTAAAAGGCAGCAGGCAGCATGAACTTGAAAGCCTATTCAAAATGTTATAAGCTCAGCTGTTTCGTTCTTAGTAATGGTGTTTCTCCTATTTTATGAATGTGGCTTTCTCCTTCACAAAGACTTGTTTGATTTTAAAAGGATGTCGCCATCATGGGAGCTGAAGGGACGCGGCAGAAAGAGTGTGGATTCCAGTGGTGGGCAGGCTGCGGGCTGACCAGATAGCAGTTCACGCGAGGTTTGAAGGCTGTGGGTGAATCAGTTAAGCTCTCTGAGCCTCACTCCTGTTAACTGCAAAATGCAGCTAATGACAGCTACCTGTAGGCATCTGGGTTCATGCATACACAATGCAGAATTTGTGTTAGGTCTTGTATGAGCATTTTCTGAAAACCAGGTGGCCAAGAAATGGTAGCAATTATTGTGATCGATCTTGTCCCCGTGCCTAACTTTGTACCAGGCAAAAGCTACTGCATATGCAGGTCTGATACCTTTCCCACTATTTAGTAGGAAGAAAAGAAATTAAAATGGACCCCTGCGGTCATCATGCCCTTCATCTGAGTTCAGATCCACCAATCTTGAGTATAATGGTACCAGTCTCATCTTTACTCACACCCTCCAAAGCCCATCTGTGTTCTAACCACACTTCCCAACTTCTGCCTCTTAATCTACACATTGAACCCTGTTCCTTCCTGGTCCTGAGTCCTAGCTGGGTTTCTCCTAATTCCATCCACATACGTTTCACCACCTGAAATTTTCACAAGAGATACAATGGGAAAGGAAGGCAAGCAAAAGGTTCTGAAGCAGTTTCCCTCCACTAAGGTGAAAAGATATCCTGTTTAAATGGGAAAAAAGCAGGTTGCGGAAGGGTATGCATAATAAAATCCAATTTCTATTGAATATGTGTGCGTTTATTTAAATTTACTTTATTGATGTTCCGGAAGCATACATAAGAAATTTAACAGTAGTTACCTCTGGGGGGTAGGTGGGAGGTCAAATTTTTTTTTAACTTTTTATTTTATATTGGAGTATAGCAGACTAACAATGTTGTGATAGTTTCAGGTGCACAGGTAAGCGACTCAGCCATACATATACATGTATCCATTCTCCCCCAGACTGGGAGGTCAAATTTTTTGTCATGACTCTCTGTTACTTTTATATTA